CCAGCCGCCACTCGAGGCCACTCGCCCACCGGGCAGCCCGCCCCGCCCGGCTCACCAAAGACCTCTCGGGCCTGGCGCTCGCCGGACACGCCGCGGCTCAGCTCCTTCGGACCCACGTGAACCTTGAGCTGCAGCGGGGCCGCGTCCCCGAAGGGGCAGCCCCGCTTGGGCATGGCCGCCGACGAGGGACGCCCCTCGGCCAACGCGCGCCTCGCCGCTCGACCAGCGACGTCACAGGCGTACGCCAATCCTGGGCCGTTAGGGGGCGGGGCTAGTGGCGGCGCAGCGCAGGATAGGTCAGGGCGAGCGCAGAGGGCGGGACATGGGACGCGCGGCGCGCGGGCGACGGACGGCGGCGAGGGCAAGGCCCGGAGGGAGGTCGAGGGGCGGGGAAAGCTAGCCGTGGGGCGGGATAGGCTGTCGTGGGAAAAGGGCGGGCCTAGTGGGTGGCGTGGCCCGAGATAGGCTGGGGCAGATTCCTTTACGACGCAGCGTGGCGCGAGGTCAGGGGCGGGGCCCCAGGGGCGCGGGAAGGGCTTGGGATTTCCGTAGTTTCCGGGCTTCTTTTACCCCCTGCCTCCGGTTAAGAGGCCGCTCCTCCCTGGAGGTTCGAATCCACCAGGGGCTCGGGAAAAAGTCTCCTTCTGGACGATTTACAGCCGCCAAAGCCCGCTGGCGGGTCAGCTATAAACCGAGTCAAGGTTCCTACTTGGCGACAATGAGACTGAGTTTTGAGCATCCTCGAGATTGGCTCTATCCCCTCGTTTAAATGCCCAAAGTGTGAAGAAAATCCACTTTGCATTTGTAAACAAGCACGCAGGTGCACGTGCTGGAGCACAGCCCAGTGAGAGCACGTGACACGTGTCCTCTGTCACTGGCTGGGTGGCTGCTCCCTCCCCTCCTCCTCTGCCAGCCTTCCTGATGATGCTTGATTCCAGGTGGGCAGCTGAGCCCAAGGCTGGAGGGTTGAGTTCATCCCACCATGTCTGAAAGCGGCCTGGTGGGCTTCAGAGGAAACCCCCACTTAGCCCGATGGAGTACGCAGTGAGCAGCCGCGTCCCCAACCTGCCTGTGGAGTCCCCGACCACGTGCACCTGGGAGGACCTGCTGGTCCACTTCCGATCTCCTGTCCTGAACCCGAACTCCCTACCCGGAGACCCTGGGGGACAGCCACCACCACGACTGGGTGTGTTGTGCCTGGAGCAGGGATTTGGGCCTCCAGGCCTGAGATGACCACACAGTGCTGGCATGGTGGCCCTTAGGTGTCATGGTGGATGGAGCGGAGGCAGAGTTCTGAGGTGGTCGTGAGCTGTTAGCCAGGAGGTCAGTAGGTCAGGTTTGTATAGCAGCTCCTTGAAACAAAGACCACCGCTGGCAATCCCGAGGGCGGCTCCCCACTGTCACGCTGTCACAGGGGAGACACTCCAGGGGTGACACAGGGAAGGTAGGCTGCCAGGGGGTCACCTTCAAGCCGGGATCTGAGAACCTGAAGCCTCCAACAGGACTGATGTGACCCTGGGTTGGACCTAAGGAAGTCCATTCCTGTTCTTCAGAGACCCCGCCTGTGACATCTGAGTTCCAGCTCCTGTCGGTGACACCAGTGCCACAGAAGACCCTTGGAGCCACAGTGCAAGCCCACAGCTTACTCCCAGCAGCTCCTGAGTGGAGTCCCTGCATGGCACAAGTGGTGGAGCTCTGCTGCTGACCAAAAGGCTCATGGTTCAGGGCCACCATCAGGGGCCTCAGAAGAAAGGCGCTTCTGAAAACGCAGTCTTCAAAGATGCCCGGCCGCCCAGCTCTGCCCTGGCCACACTCAGCTCCGTGACACTCCACTCTACGGGCAGGGGGAGGCCGCAGTGTCCATACCACCCCACAGCGGGCCAGTGGCCGGTTTGCCTCCCCTTCCGCGACAGTGTTTGCTGCAGATCTCACCTTTGGCATCATACCCCCTGGAGGGGCCCTCTGTCATCTATGTTAAAACCCAGTGTGTTGCCATGAAATTGATTCTGACTTGATGACCCCACATCACAGGTCACCTTAGGGCCACCTTCCAGAGCACATGGACAGGCCTCGGCATGGCTGAGGACCTAAGCCGCCAGCCTGCAGGGCAGAAGTCCAGCACAGCCAGGGCCTCCACTGATGTCAGGGAACAAAGTGTCTTCTGGGCTTCACTCCACCCCCAACTGTCTCACAAGTCAGTGAAGGTCCCGGAGAGACACAACTATAGTTGGAGGAGATAACACTGGTGCAGGGATGTCCCTCGGCCGCCCTCTACAGCACTGACCCTTTCCTCTGAGGCCCAGGCCTGAGAACTGACCCAGTCAATCCATCCCCTGTACACAGACAGCTTCCTCAGGGGGTGAACAGCCAGACAGAAGCCTGAGGGAACTTTATAGCCATGGGGCTCACTGGGGAGCAACCATCTGAAAACTGACCTGCTTTGGCATCAAGATGTCTGGATTAAACTGGAAAATTCTGGTCCTTTCCAGAGCCACCTTTCCTCTCTGGAATGAAAAGGCATGTGACTCCAAGTGACTGGAGAGAATTTCTGCAGCTGTTCTGACAGAATGCCACAAGCTGGTGGCTGACTCCTTGACACACTGCCTTGTGCCCTCGGGCCTGGGGCCGCATGCTCCCTGCTCTGAGGACCCTGCCTAGCCCCCCAGTTCCTGGAAGTCCTGGCTGATTCTCAGCCTATCAAAGCCTCTGCTCACATGGCACCTCCTGCTCTGCTCCTATCAGAAGCCCCACTCTGGCACAACACTCCCTGCCAGTGAGTGTCCTACATGGTGGCTGGAGTGGTGCTGGATCGCTAGAAGCTGTACCACCAGTATTTCAAATACCAGCAGGGTCACTCATGGTGGACCTTCCAGACTAAAGGTTCAGGGGAACTTCCAGACTGACTAGTGAGAAAGGCCTGGCAACTGACTTCTGACTCTCAGCCAGTGAAAATCTATGAACCTCAAAGTGCTGCTCATGAAGGGACTGTGGACCTCAGAGCTCTGCCCACAGGACACAGTGGACTTCACATTGTCCACAAGGCCATGGTGGACCTCAGAGCACTGCCCACAAGTGGATCTCAGAGCATTTTCCACAAGGCCACAGTGGACCTCAGTGCGCTGACCATGAGGGCACAGCGGACCTCACAGAGTGCTGTCCATGAGGGGACTGTGGACCTCAGAGCACTGCCCGTGAGGACACAGTAGACCTCACGGAGTGCTGCCCACGAGGGGACAGTGGCCAAGGCAGACGGGTGGGGGAATACCTTGACTTTCATTCTGTGGGGTCACATGAGTCACAGTGGCCACATCACCCACACACAAGATGACCCCATAAACCCAGCGGTCAGTCAGAATGAGACTGTCCAGGGATAGGGAAGCAGGGGCTTGAGGACATGGTTTTGCGTTCCAGAGTGGAGTGAGTGGACATGCACTATCAACTGGGTTCTCATTCCTTTCCTTCTAGAACAAACAGCCACAGAGCCAGGTGAGCGGCAGTGCTGGCCTGTGTCCCAGATGCAAGGATAAGCCCCCAAGAAGACAGAAGTGGCCACGTCAGCTGTGACTTTATTATGGCCTCCAGGGACATGTGGCACCCCTACGCCACGAGAAGGTGTCCCACGCACAGCACTCTGCCCCCTCTCACAGCTCCCAGGTGTTGCACACCCCCCTCACAGGAAAGAACCACCCAACACAAGAGTCCAGGAAGCCGTCAGGTGTGTTTGTTAACCGCTTGGTCCAGTGGTCCATCTTGCAGGTCTCTCTGGGTTGGGCTGCTGTGTGGCCTCCTGGGACTGGTCAGGGTCTGGCTAGAACAGCTGGATCATGGACTCGCGGGACTTGCCGACCCCGACCCACTTGACTGCAAAGGAGAGATGTGAGTTAGGACACATGGACGTGGTGTCCACCAAGCAACTTACCATCCAATGACGCATTATGACCAGCCCATAGGGGAGCAAGTCATGTTTCCATAATGTTCAGAGCCGTGGGGAAAGGTGGTTCCAACCCATCAGGCCCTGGAGAAGAGAGGCCACCTGCTTCCAAGCACGGCCTGGGCCCTGCCCTACAGCCACCACCCTGCCCTACAGCCCCCACAAAGTGGAATCAGCTTCTGCTTCTCGGGACAGAAACCCTTCAGAAAGTGCCCAGAAGAGGACCACTGCTGTCCAATCTGCTCCGCCTCTGGGCTCTTGATATGATGGGCTGGTGGATTTGAACTGCCGACCTTCTTGCGGAGACACCCCCTCACACAGGGTGCCACAAAGTACAGTGCAGGCTGCCGTGCCACCAACATTACTACATGTAGCTGCTAACCAAAAACAGCGCGAGGCCACCCAGAGACACCTCGCGGGAGCCACTCTGAAAACCCTGTGGTCGCCAGGGACATCACTCAGGGAACAGGGTTCAGCGTGGTGTTCAGCGCGGACTGGTGTCAGCATGGAGGCCCCTTTCTTACGTCCAGCAGAGCCTCCCGCCCGCAGGGCCCCTGGCCAACATGAGGGGGGTACACCCACCTGCGACCCCAAGGTGGGTCTCCACAAACCGGATGTAGTTCTGGGCCTGGGGCGGGAGGTCCTCCCACTTTCTGGCAGCCGTGGTGTCAGCTTTCCACCCGGGCAGTGTTTCGTACTCCACCTCCACCTTCTGCAGGATCTCCTGGTTGGCTGGGGGAGAGGAATACACACAGGGCACTTGGGGGCCCAGCCTTCCTTCCACCAAGAACTACAGGCTTGGGGAGGGCCTGGGTGCCTTGCTGGGTGGGGCCGGCAGGGACAGCAGGTCCTCTTCCAGACCTGGGGACACGCCCACCCTAGTGAGTAGCTCATAAAGCTCTGCCAGTGCTTCCCTGGTGACCAAGCCTAGGGCCTCCATGAGGACAGTGCAGGGCGCACCCCTCGCATGTGGTCACTGCAATGCCCCCACTGTGGACGATGCTGGAACAGCCCACTGCTGATCCTGTGGCCTCGGCCACTGCAGCTCTGCACTCTCAGCAAGGTCACTCCCCAAAGTCACTGGATACAATCTAGACCACGTCTGTCCCAGGAGCAGGCAGTGGGCAGCTGGCCCTGGCCGAGATCCCAGGACATCACCAGAAGGATGAGTGAGAAAATCAAAGCCTCAGCCTACGCTGCACAAGCCCATCTGGAGAGCGCATGCCTCCTCAGGACCTTATGCTCACAGCAGCCCCAGGTGGTGTAAATGACACCCAAGAGGCCAGGGGTTCAAGTCCACTCCAAGGTGATTCAGAAAAGAGGCCTGGCCATCGCCTTTCTGAAAACGCTATGGTGGCAGTGCCACCCAGACAGGCCCAATCAGGGTCAGCTCAGCACACCTCATTTCTCAGGGCCTCCAAAACTGCCTACCATTCAATGCTTGGGATGTGGCGTTGGACCCAAACTGTCAACTCCTGAGAGGCCTGCCTCCCCAGGCAGCTGAGTGTCCCACCTGGCGGTCAGCACTTGTGGCCCTTGATGGACCAGCACTGGCTGTTTTTCTCCTGGTCGCTGTGCACAATGTCCTCACCCCAGGCACTGCCCACTGAGGGACCCCAGCTTTGTGACACACCTGGGAAATACGGGATCCGCTTCCCACTGAGCTTGTAAGAGACGCCAACCTTGATCTCGTCCAGCACATCCAGGATGTCCAGCTTGGTCAGTGCCAGCCTGTCCGGCAGCCAGAGGCAGGTAAGCGTGGTTGCCTGGCCTGGAGGCTGGGCCCTCTGGCTCTCCCACCCCTGTCCCTCTGTATCGTTCAGGTCGAGAATACAGGAGGGGGAACAGATGGCACAGGGCAAAAGTGGACTGGGGCACGTGGCCCTGAAGGGGTCACACTGAGTGGTCACAAAGTCTACTCCCAGTGCTGAGGACTCCACAGCGGGTGGAACTAGGAGTGGGTGCAGCTTTCCAGAGATAAGTGAGTCCCAACCCCGTCTGACCCTGGGCTTTGTTGCTGTCTGAGTGCCCTCCATGCCAGCTGTCTGCTGACCTCACCTGCAGGTGAACAGGGCCATTGTGCATGATGGCACATCTGGGGATGGGGACAGTGCATCTGGGGACAAGACACCTGGGGTGGGGCAGGACACCTAGGGGGGTGGGGACACTGCATTGGGGACAGGACAACCAGGGGTGGGGTAGAACACGGGGGGGGGGGGTAGGGATAGAGCATCAAGGGAAAGGACACCTGAGTGTGGGGACAGGACACCTGGGGGTGTGGGCAGGATACCCGGGGTGGGGTAGGGATAGAGCATCAAGGGACAGAACACCCAGGGGTGGGGACAGGACACCTGGGGTGGGGAAAGCGCATCCAGGGACAGGACAACCAGGGTGGGGACAGCACACCCAGGGGTGGAGATAACATGTTGGGGCCACACCTGGAGTTGGGGGCAGTGATTTTGGGAAGGGATAACTGGGGAGGGGAATAGTGCATTTGGAGACCACACTGGGGAACAAGGACTGGGGACCACACCTGGGGACAAGGGCTATGCGCCTAGGGACAGCCCCTGGAGCACTCACGCGGTGAAGCCATTGACCATGTGGGCATATCGGAGGATCATGAGGTCCAGCCAGCCACAGCGCCTCTTCCTGCCCGTGGTCACGCCCCACTCATGGCCGCGGTTCTGCAGCAGGTCCCCAATCTCCTGTGTGGAGGACGGGCAGCAGGAGGCAGACAGCTCCTGGGTCACCCCAGCCCAGCTCCTCCCTCAGTTAGCTGCTCTCACACTCCTGTGCCTCTGGGTCCTGGCAATACTGGCTGGTCCCAGCTTGACCTGGCCTGGGAGCTGTGGGAGCAGCCTCGCCAGCTCGTGGGGTGCCTGTGGCTTCCTGCCCGCCCTCCCCCACCCTGTACATCTGTTGCCTCTCTGCATGTGGGACAAAGGCCAAGACCCCATCTCAGGTCAACACATGAGGGGGGACATTGCATAGGCACAAAGGCACATGCCCCTGCCACAGGAGGGTGACCTCTGTGTAGGGACAAGGGGCTCTATCCCATCACAGGCCCATCAGTAAGGCTTAACCATTCTGCACCAGGGCGAGAGTTGTGTCCCTGTCACAAGTCCACACGTGAGGGTCTCTGTCACAGGAGGGTGACCTCTCTGCATGGGGACAAGGGCCAGTGTCCTCATCACAGGCTCACGGGTGAGGATGCCAGGGAAGCCAGCGGCCCTCAGTGGCTGGAGACTGTGGGTTCTCCATAACCTGGAGTGGGCAGCCTGGTCTGCACCCCGTGGCCAGCACTCACATTGGTCTGCTCAGTGGGAAATGCTCCGATGCCCACTCTTGTGGTGTACGCCTTCACCACACCATAGACTTCACCGATGTTCTGGGGGGGCACCCCCAGGCCTGTGCACACACCCCCTACAGTGCAGTTGGAAGACGTCACAAATGGGTAGGTTCCTGAAAGATGGCCAGGCCACAGGAGGCTCTCAGGGGAGGGTGGCAACCGTGTCCCACTCCTGTGGTAGGGCCTGTCGTGAGGGGTGTCCTGGGGCACTGGGAGGGACCATGGCAGCTCACAGAGAATTCCGGGGCAAGGGGAAGTGCAGGGGTATACTGTCTGGAAGGGGTGCTCCACACTGAAGTGGCAGGTAGGCAGGCCTGGAGTCAGTGCCTGGGATGTGGGGGCCTGGCCGGCTCTCAGCGCCTCATGGCCACCTGCCTGTGGTCCTCTCACCCAGCCCTGCTCCACCCTCAGAAGTCAGGACAAGGGGCACTGGAAGCTTATTATGGCCAAAGAGACTCCACAAGCTGGACACTGGCCCATCCCCTCCCATTCAACCTGGTGTCCAGTCTGCCCTCCCCAACATACAAGGGTCAGCCCCATGGGGAGCAGTCAGCCTGTCTGTCAGAACATAGGGGGTCAGGGTCAGCCTTGTGGGGAGTGGTCAGCCCATCCCCCGGCACATAGGGATCGGAGTCAGTTCTGCAGAGAATGGTTAGCCGGGGTCAGTCTCATGGAGAGTGACCATCCTGTCCCTCCAACACACAGGGCTTGGGGTCAGCCCCAAAGGGAGCAGTCAGTCTGTACCCCCAACACACAGGGATCAGGGACTGCCCTATGGGGGGAACAGTCAGCCTGTCCTCTGGCACACAGGGGTCAGCCCTGTGGGGAGTGGTCAGCCGGTCTCCCAGCACATGGGTCAGGATCAACCCCATGGGAAACAGTCATCAGTCTGTCCTCCCCAGAGCACAAGGGTCAGGGTCAGCTGTGGGGAGCAGTTAGACTGTTCCTCTGGTAAACAGTGGTCAGCTGGGGTCCACCCCAGGAGGAGCAGTCAGACTGCAGCCCCAGCACACACAGGTTGGGGTCAGCCCCATGGGGAGTCGTCAGCTGCACCGAAGTCGATGTCCAGGAGGGCTGCATTGGCTCCCTCTACCAAGATCTTCTTTGGGGGGCCGTGCAAAGCCTCGTACATGAAGTACACCCCATCACGCACCATGGGCCGGATCCGTTCTGCAAAACCCTGTGGGAAGGCAGAAGAGGAGGGTCTTAGCCACAGCCCACCAGGCCAGTCTTTCACAATCTTCTAGAACCTCCCTTTCACTGTTTGTACAGACTCCTGCAACCTTGCGGAAACTGTGATCCCCTCTGAGTCTTCCTGTGAGGTTCAGGGAGGATTTCTGGGGATGCTGATCTGATTGGATGGGTGAGCAGAATGTTCTGGAAACATGTTAGTCGCTTTTGTATTTCTTGTGGTGCCTGGGGAACGGCCTGAGGTGTCACATCCTCCCGGAGCCCTGTGATCCTCACCCATGTTTCCATGGACAGGAAGGTCAGTGTGGGTTGTGGCTGTCACCATATGCACCTTCACATAGGCTCATGGGCAACTGTCCCCAGTGAGGTGCACAGAGGACTCAGGGACATGAGCCCCTCATCCCCGAGACATGAGACCCCGTTCCCTCATCCTCCGAGATGTGAGACCCCCCCGTACCTTTGTCCTCCCAAGATGTGAGACCCCTGTTCCCTTGTCCTCCTAAGATGTGAGACCCCCCGTTTCCTCATCTCCTCGAGATGTGAGACCCCCCATACCCTCATCCCCGAGACATGAGACCCCTGTTCCCTCTTCCGAGACGTGAGACCCCTGTTCCTTCATCCCCCTGAGATGTGAGACCCCCGTTCCCTCCTCCCCTCCCCGAGACATGAGACCCATTCCCTCCTCCCCGTGAGATGTGAGACCCCCCGTTCCTTCATCCCCCTGAGATGAGACCCCTGTTCTCTTGTCCCCTTGAGACTGAAGACCTCTCTGTTCCCTCCTCCCTCTGAGAAGTGAGACACCTCTTCCCTCATCCCCATGAGAAGACCACCCTGGGCACTACTGCCTCTGGACTCACAGGGTAGGGGGCTCTGGCCCAAGAAGCAAAAATTTAAAGTAACACATAATCAAACCAGCTTCTGTGGACTCAATTGTCCTCTCAGCCCATGAGCCAGAGCAGAGACTCCCACTGAGTGTCCAGGGTGAGTTTCTGGGGAAAGACCACCAGCCATTTCCTTGGAGGCACCTCAGGTGAACCCACCAACCATCAGGCAACAGCTGGGCCCTTCCATCATTTGCACCACCAGGAGTTCCCCAGGAAGGCTGCCCCACCTCCAGTAGGGTCTGTTGTAACTCACCACCTTCCTCCCCACACAGGAGGGCCTGTCTTAGCTGACCACCCGCACACACACACACACACACACACACACGAGGGCCTGTAATAGCTAATCTTACACACACACACACACACACAGAGGAGGGTCTGTCATAGCTGATCTTACACACACACACAGAGGAGGGCTTGTCATAGCTGATCTTACACACACACACAGAGGAGGGCCTGTCATAGCTGATCTTACACACACACACACACACGAGGGCC